GGGCCACTACCTGGTCATCAAGGTGCTGGTGGGCGCCTTGGGAGCTGACCCCACGCGCCGTGACCACAGCGGCCACCGGGCCTGTTACTACCTGCGGCCCGACGCGCCCTGGGGCCTGCGGGAGCTGTCAGGGGCTGAGGACTGGGAGAAGGCGAGCGACAGTGAGCGGGACAACGCCAATAACAACAGCAGCGGCGGCGCCACCACCGCCACCGGGTGGACGCTGCGAAGGACTCTGAACTCACTGGGCGCGACGGCCGCGGAGACAACGATGAGAGAGGTGGCGTTGCCCAGCAAGGAGAAGGACTCCGCAGGCAGCCGGATGGCGCAAATTCAAGGTTTTTTTCGCCAGTTGTTCCCCTTCTTCCAGGACCGTTGAGGGCGACGTAGAGGAGAGTGCAGAGGGACGCGCCACTGTGGCGAGGCCTCGGTCCTCCCTTGTCCCAGATTCCACTGAAGGGGCTATGCGGCCGAGTGCGCTGGCCTGCAATGAGCAGACTACATCCGGTCTGTCTCAGGTACCTGTCACAAATCTCCTGCAGTCACTGGCCAGGAGACATGGAGACCAGGCGTCCTCTCACACCCCTCCCCCCACCCCAAGAAAGAGAGAGCAAAGACCAAGCTGTCCTGGAGCCCAGTCCCAAAAGGAGCTGGAGTTAGGGGCAGGATCGTGGTCCTGCTTGGGAGAGGGAAAGTTAAGCTTCCAGTAGCCATTTCTGATCTGGCAGAAGTTTTGGTTTATTGCTAGAAGAATAAGTTAAGACTGTAAACCACTGATGCAGAGTGAGCGCCTAACTGCAGGCTTGACTTGGCTACTAAGGGGTCACTTTGTGCTGCCAGAGTCAGCCCCTGGCTCCCTGTTCCTGAGACAACCAGACCTTACTGGTACTTTTTCAAATGTATCGCGGATGACTTCTTAAGCATATTAAAGTGGAATTGTTTTCCTTTCACATGACAAAGCTGTCCTTTGATTTTTTTTTTCATTAACCACTGAGGTGGGGGAAGCTTCCTACATTTGCAGGGAAGAGGTCACCCACCCATGGCCAGGAGCTAGTGATCCAGGGCAGGCTCTGGGCCTCATTCTCAGAGCAAATGGCTGAGCTGTGCACTGAGGGGGCTACTTTCACCTTGACTCTGAGTCTATTGGGCTCTTGAGCATCTAGGTTTGGGGTCCGGCACAGTCTCCTCCTAGAGTTGTGTGTAGGGGAAAGAAGGGTAGTAAAAGGGGAAAGCCTCCAGAGGTACATTTCTGATAATTTGTGGTGAGTCATGTCATTTACCTGGACTTCTGGCCTCCAGTGAGACACACCCACTGGCACTTTTTTCTGAGATAGGGCTTTAATCATCATCATTTGCTTTTTTTTTTTACTCCTCACCTGAAGATATGTTTCCATTGATTTTTAGGGAAAGTGAAAGAGAGGGAAAGACAGAAATATCGGTGAGAGAAACACATCAATTGGTTGCCTCCTGCATGAGCCCCAACCAGGGCTGAGGCCAGGGAAGAGACTGCAACCAAGTACGTGCCCTTGGCTGGAATCAAATGTGGGACCCTTTGGTCCGCAGGCCAACGCTCTATCCACTGAGCCAAACTGGCTAGGCCAGGGGTGGGCAAACTTTTTGACTCGAGGGGCCACAATGGGTTCTTAAACTGGACCGGAGGGCCGGAACAAAAGCATGGATGGAGTGTTTGTGTGAACTAATATAAATTCAAAGTAAACATCATTACATAAAAGGGTACGGTCTTTTTTTTTTTAAGTTTTATTCATTTCAAACGGGCCTGATCTGGCCCGCGGGCCGTAGTTTGCCCACGGCTGGGCTAGGCCCTAGCCACTAGGGCATCATTTGCTTTTTTTAAATTACACTTAATATATAAGCTGTAGTTTGAAAAATTGTTACCAAACAATTAAACTGAGTAGAATACAGCACAGTTAACTCGAACTGAGAGGAGGGGAAAGCAGTTGGAGACTAGAGTTGTGTATAGGGGGAAGAAGGGTGGTAAAAGAAAAAAGCTTCTAAATATACATGCTGCCTTAGAGAATATTTTAAAAAATAGTGCTGCATTCCTGTAGCCCTTGCAATGGACTGGTGTGTCCGAAGCCCTCCCATCTCAGTCCTTAAACATGAGGGAGAAATTGAGTCACTACAGAATACAGAAACCACCCTGTGCCCATTCATCCAGATTTCCATCTCTGCCTGCCTAGTGGGCCTATTTGCCCTTTTTTACTACCCACTCTGTGCCCCCAAACAATCCCACCTTCCCTTAAAAAACCCATTAGATTCTTCTCACCCATGAAATGATCCAAACCCTTCCTATTGGTGTTTTCAGCCTGTCCCAGGTCTCTAGGAATGGCACCTTAAACATATTTATTCCTGGCTTCTGGCATTTGGCATCAGCAGCTGGCATAACTCCCCTGTTTCTTTTGTGCCCATTTTTTTAAAGCATACTTTATTTTTTTAAAAATATATTTATTTATTTATTTCAAAGAGGAAGGGAGAGAGAGAGATGGAAACATCAATGATGAGAGAGGATCATTGATTGGCTGCCTCCTGCACGCCCCCCACTGGGGATCAAGCCCGCAACCCAGGCATGTGCCCCGGGCTAGAATCGAACCTGGGACCCTTCAGTCCGCAGGCTAATGCTCTATCCACTGAGCCAAGCCGGCTAGGGCTTTTGTGCCCATTTTATAGATACAAATTGGCTAACTGATGCAAGACTTTAGTTTCTGTTCCACCACCTCCCCCTTGACAACTGCCAAGGTGGGTTGGGCTTGGTGAAGGCTGCCAGGGCAGAGCCTTCCTGCCACATGGCTGAGTCTGCGGGTTCCTGGCTTGGAGGGAAGATTAGCATGTGCCTTTGCCCAACATTCAAAGGACACTTATATCAGTAGTCTCCTCCCCATAGGCTAAGTTTGAACCTAAACGTCTTAACTATTAGCAGATTTGGGGACCTGAGACCAGCATCCGCCTTGCTCTTTCCAAAATGAAAACCAAGTCAGCTAGAAGATTTGAAAGCGGCTTTCTATAGTTTTTCCTGTAGTCAGCTATTTTTCCCCACAGACTTTTCTCATCATGTGATATTGCCTAGCCTACCTCCTCCATGTAAAATTGAGGTTTGGCTGCAGGGGACGTACTCCCATTCTGAAAACTCTCCATGCCTAACATCAAGCCATTGGCATTCCTGGTATGCTTTTCGAGGCAAGACTGGTATGCTTACCCCAAGAGAAAGAATAAATTCCCTGAGAAACTTCTTTCCTGGGAAGCAAAACGGAGTTGAGCAGATGATGCGAATCTGCATTCTAGTGGGGCTTGCAGAGGAAAAAGGAGACGGGAAGTAGGGCTGTGAGGTGTAAACATGGGGGGAAGGGTGCTGCTCAGAGGGCAGGGCCTTGGCCCAGGCTGAAAGGTGCTGGAAAGGCTTTCAGGGAAGAAGGTAATTCCTGATCTGAGGCATGGGTGAGTGGGAGATGGTCAGTGAAGGGGGAGGGGCCTCCTGGCAGAGCCAGTGGAGTGTGTAAGGGCCGGTACACCAAGTACCAGGAAATGTAGGTCAGCCTGTTTGGCAGGAAGGTGGGAGCTAGGGAGTAATTAATGGCAAAGCTGGAGAAGTGGGTGGGGGTCCAGATCGCTGAGGGTCTCATAGGTCATACTAAAAGAAGAACATTGGTTTTCACTTAAGGTACCTGGGAGCCATGGAAGGTTTCCAAGCAGAGGAGAAACATGAGGTTTTACCAAAATCACTCTGCCAGTCATGTTGAGGATGGATGTGCTAGATGATGGGGAAAATGAATCACACAAGCAGTGTTTCTGGAGAAAACCTTCAAGTAAAGTCATGCTTCAGCAGAGAAGTTCAAAGACCCCCACAGAGGTCAGTGGCTTTCAAATTTCTTTTTCTTCTCAATAGACTTTGATCTAATAAATCTTATTTCGAAGCCCCAGGTGTAAAACTGACAAATTGAGACTAGGCTGCTGAGCTCCCCACCCCATGCCTCTGTCTTAGACAGAGGCATAGGGGCGTCCCTGGAGCAAAATTCAAAACCACTGGTGTAGGGAAAAGCTCTCAGCCTAACCTGGGTTCCATCCTGATTGCTAACTAGCGGCTTTGAGCAAATCACTTGTCTCTCTCAGTTGCAATTTTCTTATCAGCAAAATGGGAACAATACAATCTCCCTTGAGGTTTGCTCTGAGGATTGGAGGTAATTGCAAGGTCTAGTACCTGCAGGACACACAGGAAATAGGGAACAACAGCTATTGTTTGGCAGAATTTTGAAAGGTGCACAGCAGGCTTTTGTGGTGAAACTATTTTACCTGCTAGCCTAGTCCAGGAAGGATCTTGTGGTTACCTGTATCCCACCTCTGAAATGTGTCCGCATTGCTTGCAAGTTATTTCCTCCCTGTGCCAGTTGAGTGGCTTTTCCTCAAAGGAGATGTTGGTTCCTCTGCTGATGTTCTTCACAACCTGCATTCTTTTACTTTAGGTACAATTGTAACAAGCTGCCTCACCTTGTTCTCTAGGCCCATAGAAGTAACAGCAGCAACTTAATAAGTGCCCATCAAATATTAAATAGGTTAGATATTGTTTCCAGATAAAATCATAAACTGGGCCCTAGCTGGTTTGGCTCAGTGGATAGAGCATCGGCCTGTGGACTAAAGGGTTCCAGGTTTGATTCTGGCCAAAGGCACATGCCCAGGTTGCAGGCTTGATCCTTAACAGGGGACATGCAGGAGGCAGCCGATTAATGATTCTCTCTCATCGATGTTTCTCTCTCTCCCTCTCCCTTCCTCTCTGAAATCAATAAAAATGTATTTTTTTAAAAAATAATAGTCCTGGCCGAAACCGGTTTGGCTCAGTGGATAGAGCGTCAGCCTGCGGACTGAGGGGTCCCGGGTTCGATTCTGGTCAAGGGCATGTGCCAGGGTTGTGGGCACGTCCCTAGGGGGGATGTGCGGGGGGGTGGCTGATCGATGTTTCTCTCTCATCGATGTTTCTAACTCTCTGTCCCTTTCCCTTCCTCTCTGTAAAAAATCAATAAAATATTTTTTAAAAAGCTGGAGTTAGAGCTAAACCTGAAATCCTCTGAAGAGAATAAAAGTATACAAGTCCGTTATCTCCTGACCCTATAATCTGTGAAAATGCCTTCCTCCCATTCCAGCCAACATACCCTACATTCCACACTCAGCCTCCATGTCTTCTATTTCCGTTTATTTTAATGAAGGAGCATGCCTGTCTACTTTCAAGATGTAACTCATGCTGTCAACCCATCTCCTCCAAGGGCTTTATTCCCTCAATCCCTTTCCTGTATCTTCAAGCTCACCCTCAATTTAGTTCAGTGCAATAACATTTATTAAGTGACTAACATTTATTGAGGCTCTTTGGGTGAAAAACAGGCTCAAGTTTCCCCCAGCCTTCTGGCTTAATCTTATGACTCTCTTCTCTTCACAGCCAAGCCTCTCAAAGAGGTCTCCTCCCCCTCTTTACTCACCTCTTTTTTTCTAATTCTTTTTTTATTGATTGATTTTAGGGAGAGAGAAACATTGACTTATTGTTCTACTTATTTATGCATTCATTGGTTGCTTCTTATAGGTGCCCTGACCAAGGATTGAACCCACAACCTTGGCCTATCGTGACAATGCTCTAACGAGCTGAGGTACCGGCTAAGGCTTTCCTCACCTCTTTTTTAAAAAATATATTTTATTGATTTTTTTACAGAGAGGAAGGGAGAGGGATAGAGAGTCAGAAACATCGATGAGAGAGAAACATTGACCAGCTGCCTCCTGCACACCCCCTACTGGGGATGTGCCCGCAACCAAGGTACATGCCCTTGATCGGATTCGAACCTGGGACTCTTCAGTCCACAGGCCTACACTCTAGCCACTGAGCCAAACTGGTCAGGGTGTCCTCACCTCTTAATCGCTCCTCAACTCTATGCATTCTGGTTTTTGCCTCCATCATCCCAG